CTAGAAATATATATCCGAATTTAATAAAAAAATCTTCAGTACGCTTTCGATTTTATTTACCGTTTCAATATACACATATAGAGAGCACTTTATTTAAGATATTGGCTTATAGCGCCACCCGAGGTGATTCTATTTTCTGTCAGAATCGGAGAGAATTATTGTTACCAATTTTCCTCACTCCGACAACGCTCAATATTTCAGCGTGTACGAGAGCCGAAGCAATTTGAAGACGTCAATCAGCAGGAGACAGGGAAGCGTTGTACGGCATTTTATACGCTATATATTCAATAACACTTTACGAGTAAGGAGTTTTAGGAGTTACAAGTGTAAGAGATATGAGTTATTGAATTATAAAGAAATAAGATATTGATAAAGTACATTTATAGATTTAAGAGAACGACTACTCTCGTCGAGTTGTTACTAGGTCAACCAGGAGCTCTAAACAGGCTCATAATGAATTTTATTTCAAGATTGTTATTCTATTTGGTTTAGTAGTGAGGGGACGTTTTGAACTAATATGGAGAATTATATTTATTTTATATGTGTTGCTTCTGTAATACAAAACAGCTTTAATATTAAATACAACTACCATAATATACAATTAAAATAAAAATACCATACTTGCTGAGAAACAAATATGGTATCTTTGCAACAAAATTATTCACTTTTAATCTTAGGAGCTAAAGTTAATACTTTTAATTCTTATATTAAAAGTGTTAATCAAGTTTTAAATTATAAAAGTTTATTCAACAATATTTACAATAATTTTTGTTTATCCACATTGATATTAAATACATAGTTTGAACAAGTATTAAAATTAAATAAACCACTCAAACCGCCACTGCCTTTAATCTTGGAGCAATTCTCAAAGCAGTCCAACACGTTTTTATTAATACTTAGTTATATTATTTTCAGATGTTATGAAATCAGAAATGACAAAGGTGCTTGGTTTATCGTTACAACTATCAAGTTTCAGTATTCTTTTCGTAATATTTGCTTTATTCAAAAGTGAGTCTTCAATGGAGCCTTCCACCACAGTGCTCGATCTCCATTCTTCGTGTCTTCGTGACTAGTGGGGTCACCACCGCACCGCCGTCAACTAAAATGGTAGCAGACGTTCGCCCTAATGCGTGTCCACTGTACTCTTTCCAGTTGTCCAGTTTCAAAAAGTTTGCCACTTCTTGCGAGACGGCACTGATTTTATGAATACCGACCACCATTCGATGACACTTTCCACTAACATATCTGAAAAATAATCGGCGTTCTATCAATCCGGGTGGATCTAAAGCAACATATTTTCGATAGAAACTTAAATAATTGTCAGCACAGTAAATGAACGTGGTCTTTTGGGTTTGATATTGGAAATTTTTGTAATTAAGACGGGTTTCATATCTTCAACATTATCAATTGCTAAATTGACTAATGGCACGTGCCTGCAACCCCCAATATTAGGACGACTTAAAGGGAAACTTTATAAAAATCTTGTTCCTTTATTTTTAAAGCTTTTATGTGCTTTATCAGATGCACTATTCAAAAAACAATCAACTTGCTCCTTTGTAAATACTCGCGATTTTTTCGGTACATTTTGTCTCCTGAAAAAAGCATGTAATTTTGAATATTTGCTTATATCAACCCCTTCTTTATATCCAACGTTGACCGCAACATTGAATATTGTGACCAAAGCGTTGACGGTTTCATTTTATTTGCTAAGTTTGAGAAATACACCATCAATATATCTTCTGTATACAACTTAATGTTTTTCCTTTGCTCCAAGACACATTAATAAATTTCTCGAGATTTCTTTGGGAGAATATTCAAAGAAACATCTTTCGCACGCTCAACTATCTCCTCAGGTACACCTACACTTTTTTTTTTCAGCAAATTGAACCACAATCACAAATGAACTCAATCAATAATCTGGCGACCATAGATTTAATAGTATATGGATGGAGTCAAAGCCAACTTTTTGCGCATTTTAGCTGTTCCAACATGAACAGTGAACGTGACCTAGAATGTAAATCGCGCTACATTGATTTGAAGAGGAACTCTATTTCTTATTAGCAAATTGACTCTTTTTAGCATAACAATTAAGTGTTAAAAATATGAAAATATTTATATTTTTAAAGACAATAATAAGCTTTATTAAATTTTTATACTTTATAAAACAATATTTACATGAAATATTTTTAAAAAATGAAATAAATAGAAGGCATTACTAATTTATTATTTTATTCAAATAGATAAGTACACAACTACAATCGTTCAAGGAATAATTTGTGAATAGTAATATTAATATTAATAAATAAGGAAATAAATACTTTTATTTTTATCCTCGCATAAATACAATAGATAATTACAATATGTAAATATAATATAAAACGTTTATAAATACGAGTTCCACTTATCCGCACATAATTATAACCATAGTATACTATTAAATCTATGATTATAACATATTTTTTATACGACTGCCTTGCAAAAGGGGGTTTTGCGCACGGAAAACACGCTCTGAAAACGGTATTTTGCACACGCCGTGTGCTAAACATTTTGCACACGGTTATGTCATCTTTGCACACGCGTCTCCAGATTGTGATTTTTGTTTTATGTTGTCACCCAAATTATGCAATGTTTCAAGTTGGCAGAGTTTCATAGCAACCGTCACGGCTCCTTTATTTTGTTGATTACATACTTCAAAAATTGTTGAATTCCCGAAGTTTGGGTGTGAAAATGTGTGATTCTGAAGAGATTTTACAGAAAGCAAGCGAAATATGTTCGGAACTGCTGCCCACAAAATCCAGAAGCAGGTATGAAGCTGAGTTAAGCCGATTTATGGACTGGCGACTAGCCAAAAATGTCCAAACTTTCTCAGAAAACGCAGTAATGGTGTATTTTGAAGAACTATCTAAGAAATATAAATCTTCGACGTTGTGGACGATTTTTTCGATGCTCAAGTCAACGTTAAGTGCCAATCACAACATAGATCTTGGAAGCTATAAAAAGTTGCAAGCGCTAATCAAACGAAAATCCGAAAACTACGTCCCAAAGAAGTCCCAAATCCTCACAGAAGATGATTTTTGCCGGTTTTTGACGAAAGCATCAGACGACAAATATTTACTTATCAAGGCGGTGGTGGCAGTTGGACTATCTGGGGCATGTCGAAGGGAGGAATTATGTTATCTCAAAATAGAAGACACCAAAGATTTCGGCAGTGCTATGCTGATTAAACTGAAGAATACAAAAACAAAGGTACCAAGGTGTTTTACAATTACAGGAAACCTTTACACTATCTTAAAAAAGTACTGTGCTCTTCGTCCTCCTAATCTGAAGACAGGCAGGTTTTTTTTAAACTATCAAAACGGAAAATGTTCAAGCCAAAACGTTGGCATCAACAAAATTGGAAACATGGCTAGGGAAATCGCCAAGTTTTTGATGCTAGAGAATCCAGAAAGTTACACGGGACATTGTTTTCGGCGTTCATCGGCCACAATTTTAGTCAATTCTGGCTCAAATCTGCTTGCCCTCAAACGCCATGGAGGGTGGAAATCCAGTACAGTTGCCGAAGGCTACGTTGATGACTGTTTGAGAAATAAAATGGAAGTTTCGAAAAAGATAGAGTCTTCAGTGTCTTCTGCTGCCACAGAACCAGAACAACGATCGTCTACTGGAATACAACAAGAAAACAACGACCGCACGCTGAAAAACTGCACTAAAAACACGACACCAAAAATATTCTCTATTACCGAAAACAAGGTGCACAATAATACTGCTTTTCCCAGCGTAACCTTGAAGGAATGTTCAAATGTTACCATAAATATTAAATATTAGTTTCTTTTGTTAATGCGTTAGCAATTTTCTTAATAAAAACGAGTTAAATTAAAAGTTGTATTTAATTTATTTTGTTAATGCGTTGGCAATTTTAGTAATAAAAACGATTTAAATTAAAATTTGATTTTTGTGGTCTCTGTTTGCAGTCGTATAAAAAGTATCGTAAAAAACTCGTTTGAAAACCTCTTTGCACACTCGCTCGACTTGTGGACCTCGCCTTCGGCTCGGTCCACTAATATGTCTCGCTCGTGTGCAAAGAGTCGTTTTCAAACCTTGTTGTTTAATATACTATTAATAAATGGAGCTTTATTACACTACTTACATTCCTAAATAAAGACTAAATATGTAGTTCATACAGATTTAATACTGTTCAGTAAAATTTTTGCCCCCTCAATGATTTGGGCGAAATCCCGCCTATGTTCAGGAAGCATAGGTATTTAATCCAATTTAGAATTATGTATGTGGATAGTGTAATGGATTACACGTACATGAGATATAGAACTGTCAAATCTATGCAATAAAACAAAACTATTTAGATACTAGATAGACTAAATCGCGCGATAAGTCTGAAAATTGTTCTAAGTCATGTTACCCTAGACTAGTTTCATCTCACTTTACATCTTGGCCCTTGCCCTCTCTCTCTACATCCCATCCATAGGATCTATGATGGCGAGTAATGTTTGACAATCACATAACATCGATATATCCTACTTACCTACTTTGGTTTATTATCCAAAAAGGAAATAGAGGCGGCTGGTGCGGGGGAGCTCTGGGGCGCCGCCTCATTGGAAATTATTCAATAATAGTTAAATCATATTAAAGAAAAGTCAACTCTTAATTGATTTTTCGTACTCAGAATACAGTCAAGAGTCACTCACTTGATAGTTAGCAGAAATTCAGATTTGAATAAAATTCACTCACTTCTGTTGCAATAAATAGTTCCATTCATAAAATTTTAGTTGTACTCATACTAATTGAGTGAAAATTTCACTGAATCGGGTGTGGACAGAAATTGAGTGAATTTTTTTTTTTCAGTGTAATATATTTCCATCATGAAACAATGAGGTGTATTTTTAAAAACATGTTTATTGTTTTCTCCGAAGTATTTAATATTCTACAGACGCTCTATTATCTACAGTTTCTAAAGATATGTAAAACTAAAGTATGTAACTTACTTATTATAAAGGACGATGTCTGGAAGCCAAATATGTTCGGAAGGAACGTGGAGAGTTTCCACACCACCATAGTCGTCAGGATTCCATTTTAACTTATAGTCATTCCATTCCTGAAAGTTGGCTGTGTTACATGGACTACTGTAAAACCTTTTTGGTGACAAAATAAGTTACCTGTTCGACCCATACGTTGGTGGTCATGATTTGGTTCTTGAGATTCTACAAAATAAAGAAACACCAATATTAAAAATTGCTGAAATTGACCTATCATGGTTATTGTTGTATTTTATCTTCCTTTATGTAACTATAATGCTAGAACATAATTCAGTCATGTATTTTGCAGCGTGATGTAAATTTTAGAAATTATACTTTGCTTTTCTTAGTATGGATTGATGGAAAAAAATTGTTGTTTTATTAACTTAACAAAATTGTGTTTATATTTGTTTACGTACCAACGAAATTCAGTTAAAGAGAAAACATTTTATAACACGTTTGGGACACTATTTGGTCAAACATTCTTTCAAAGTGAAAATTACATTCTACATCTATATTGAATAAAGTAATAATAGGCTGTAACAACAAAGTACTAGAAACAACATTTTTTAAGTATATGTCCGTTATTAACCCTCAAAGGTGGGTGGGTAACCTTAAAGGTCACACTAGTGCGAATTGGGATTTTGACAACTTTCAACCTATATGTCCTCTTTACTTGTTAACGAAAACATAACGTATTTATATTAAAACTGGGGTAAAATTTTCCGAGAAATCGAATGATATTAGTTTTGAAAAAAATTATTTGTTAATAAAAAATGCGTGTGTTTTTTGAAACATGACTTTCTTTTAAATTCCTACTTTTTTTTTATAATTAATGTTGAAAGTTGAAAGTCTATAATTTTAAGAAAAAAATTAATAAAATGATATTTTCGATTTTTCCCGACACATCGAATATAGGCACTTTTTGAAGTTATGATTTTTGGCTTCTTTTCTGTAAATTGATGTTTATTTTGCACTCTTTTGCATACAAATATTATCCATAAATATTAACAAATACATGTTACAATTAAACTATTAATGACAAAAAATGTTTGACAATTATTAACAATAACTAAATAAACAATGTTCTAGTCTATACGACACGTAAAATGAGGTAAAAAAATCGGAAATTTGCATTTCAATTCACTTTATTAAAGTCACACTAATGCAAATTCGCACCGATCGAATTTTTCAGACTCTCTAGTTTGGCCAACAAAAACCGACTGAGGCCAGCCGTGGTACGGCTCGACTGTTTGGGCTATAGAAGGAATTATCGTGGTGGGAGGAACCCTCGGCAAATGCTACCTGAGAAATGCCAGCTGTTAAAAAAAAACGCTGGAGCGAAATCGCACTAGTATGTCCTTTTTTTCTCACTGTGAGAAATGAGAGTTGAATAAACGTAGAATACAGATGGAGGTTCTCATAAGCCTTCTCATCGGTCGGGAAGTGTTGCTTTCCTTATTGTACCATTAAAAAGTATGACCAGAAACATGCGAGATTAACATATTTTTAAGTTTAGAAATAAATATTTTTTTACATTTTCCTCATTTTAATAAATCATGTTCTCCTAAATATCTCTGAACTTGTCACAAACTGACACGAATGATCTACTCCTTTCTGTGGCTGTACGCTCATTCAAGGCATAGCAGTGCTAAATTCTAAAAGTTGTTTAGTTACAATGCCATTAAAGTTACCTACATTTTGAAAATTTTATACATTATTTAAAGCATCTTAAAAAACTATATTTTTGTTCTAGTTCTAACGCAAACATCGCATCTGATTCTAATAAAACATATGATAAAATAGTGGCACCTACATTTTAACTTCTTATTCTTTTTGGCGTTTTCAGCTCTTATATTGTATGAGATAATTTATTATGTTTGTTACTTATTTCATAACTGTATTTACTCTGAAAATAAATGTTTGCAGTAGCATAATAAATATTTACTGTTGGAATTTGAATTCGTATTTCATTATTTCCGAAAAGAAAATAAAGATATAAAAGGCATGTTTTTGTGAACTACTTCAGTTTACATAAAAGAAAATACAGGATATTTTAATTAAAACTTCCCACCTGGAAAACATAGAAATTAAAAAAAAAACAAAAAAAAAACTGTGACACGTCGATTTTCTTTTCCAAGGGGTACACACCATGGTGTATCTTCGAAGCTACCCTTAGACAGGGGCGCAAAATACCCTTAAATTTTAAATGGCGCCCTATGTTTAGTGACACTTCATTTTAAAGCTTTTTCAAATCTGCTCACGACGACATACGACTTTTTAAATTTTGGTTCGCATATGACAATAATATCATCACTTAAAGAATAAGACAACATATCAATGAATTAAAGAATGTTATTTTATTAAATATTCAAATTGGTTTCCTGCCGCTTCCATACAATAATAATATCATTGATCCATTTCAGAACGAACATTTCGATGCATTTCGGGAGTTATCTGACGACATTCTTCAACAATTTCTCGATAAAATTTCTTTCTATTTTTCGTTTATCTGTCAATACTAAAATTCTATCAGTTCAACTTTTTTATCCGTTTTACTTTTGAACAAGACAATATTGTCTCGTCTTGTCTTGTCGATACCATATCCCGTAAAATCATGACAAAGTCGACTGAAATCCAATTCGTGAAAATGGTTTATACAATTGCTGAAGAAGTGGAAATAATTAGTTTGTTCTTCAAGAATAATGACTGTGCACGGCAGGCAGCACAGATTTTTAATAATCGTCATCCTGACAAATCACTTCGTATCGGTACGCCCCGGATTTAGTGCATACATTTTCGGAAACTGGATTGGTTGCAAACAGAAAGCATCAACGTGAACCTGGGTCACATCGCAATGGAACCAAATTTGAGTCTCAAGAAATTTACAAGTACTTCAGGAATTTCTGTATCTAGTTGCCGTTGAATCTTAAAAATTCATCATAAGTATCACCCATACAAAATTAATATGGTACAAGAAATTAATGAAGACGATCCTGATTGTCGCTTGCTATTCTGTAGAGAAGTGAGTGATCGTGTTCGAAGGAATCCAGATTTTTTGTACGTAATCTGTTTTTCCGATGAATGTACGTTCCAACTGGATGGTCGAGTCAACTGGCATAATTGCCGCTACTAGAGTGATGAAAATCCACGCATTTTTCATGAAACTCATACGTCGCATCCGAGGCAATTGACTGTTGAATGGGTATACTAGGAGATCACCTCATAGGGCCCTCCTACATACCGGGAAATCTCGTTGGAAACATGCATCTGAATCTTCTGGAAACGAATATCTACCCGATGATTGTGGAAATATTGGAAAATGACAACGCTTTGCCAGAAGAGGAAGTGTGGTTTCAGTAGGATGGTGCTCCGCCACATTATGCCGTAGCTGTGCTTTTCTTAATCAGAACTTTCCAAATCCACAAAAATCTTATTATTGTATGGAATTGGAGGGAAACTAATTTGAACATTTAATAAAATAACATTTTTTAACTCATTGATATTATATTCTTTAATTGATGATTTTACTGTCATATCCAAACCAAAATTTAAAAAGGCGTAAGTATGTCGTTGTCAGCAGAATTCAAAATGCTTTAAAATGAGGTGTCACTTCTCATAGTGCTATTTAAAGTTTAAGGGATTTTACGTCCCTGCATATAAATCTGAACGAGATTGATATCAATAACAGTAACAATGAGACATGAAATAAACATAAAAGATATGCAATTTTTTTGCAGGGTCACTACTGAAGATGCCAACAGTGAAGAACGACTAAACGTTTGGAAGCACTGGATGTGACCGGCTACAGAGGTCATTACGAAATGTCTCAGAAGAGCCCCAGCTAAGCCTAAGGAAGTATAACGTAAATATGTATGTATCAGGTAGCAACCAGGTACATAATCCATTTGACCTGCAGGTTTCTCTAAACAAGTGGCATATGTTTGCTTGTATTTTTTATAGCAATCCTACTAATACGTGCAAAATGGCTATACACTTTTGGATAAGATAAAAATGACCTCGAAAAAGGAGCATATGACGTTCTTCTGGAAACACCCTTTATAGTAACTTTCTCCTTGACTTAGGGCAATTTCCACTGCGCCCCTAGCCAAATTGCCATATGAAACATGCATGAACGGATACCCGGACTGTTTTCGCCTTAATCTTCAGTATATTCTGGACCGCATAATCGATAGACGGAAGCTCTCCAATATTCACTCAAGGATTTTCATATCGCAAATTTCGAGAAAAACGTTGAATGTTCCAGATTCACAGAGGCATTTTGTCGAGACGGTTGAAGCAATGGAGACACTTTGAATTTATTAGGCGGCTCTGACATGACAAGTAAACAGTTCAGCGGCTTTGCTGGCCTCGTCTCAAAATGAGTTACACCGATAGCTAAGTTTAGCATATTTTAGCAAAAAGAAGAAGGAAAAGAAGACTACGAGAAGGATGAAAGTAGAAGAGAAGGAGGGGAAAAGGAAAATTAGGAGAAAAATGCAGAAGTAAAAAACCATTTCCATATAGTTAGTGAAAAATGATCAAGGGTTGCTATTGTTAACAACATTTTAAATATTAAAATTTGTGTGTTTATGTAAAATATCAACGTATCGTGTTTTTGTAGGATATTTTGCAGTTTTCAGTTAGGCAATCTTTATATCTACAGGGTCTAAGTAAAATAGAATCGATATCACAAAAAATTATAGTGTAGTATTAATAATTTCCCATAAAAACTGTAGTGTGTTTATTAAAATGTACATTAAGTTTTTTGCATGTATCCCTTCAGGTAGCTTCAGAATATTTGATTTGATAAACCTCTATTTATTCAGTGTTACTGTGGATTTCATAGTGCTCTTATTACTGTGGTTTATTATTTATCAGTCTTAGAATTGTTTTATATGGCTTATGTGTAATGAGCAAAGGGAGTTTTGTTGAGCAAAGAATTTGCATTCAATTCTGTTTGCAGAAGGCCTTTAGTGATGAGGTTATGCCACAAAAAAATGTTTAGAAGCAGTACAAAGATTTTAAAGAAGGCAGAGAAAGCGTTAAGGACGAACAGCGTCCCGGACGGCCATCAATGTCAACTGATGAACAATCAAATCAGAGATCTTGTGCTCAAAAACCATCGATTAATAATAAGAGACCTTGTTGATACTGTTGGTATTTCGAAAGGTTCGGTAAATACAACTTTTAATTTTTTTTGTGCCTTAGACGCGTCAAATCTCGTTTAGTTCCAAAAACGCTCAACTTTTTGGAACAACAGCGACGCGCTGACATCTGTGTGACAATGATTTCTGACTACTAAGACGTCATGAAATGCATCATTACGGGCGACGAGACTTGGATCTACACTTACAACCCGGAAGCAGCCGATCAATCGAGTGAATATCGTGCAAAACGTGAATTAAGACCGAAAAAAACAGTCATTCAAAAATCAAGGTCATGTTGACAGTTTTCTTTGATTATCGCGGCGTATTGCACTATGAATTTGTTCCAACCCGCCAAACTGTTAACAAGGAATTATTTGAGTGTTATGTGTCGCTTGGGTGATGCTATTCGCCGCAGGAGGCCGGAATATGGAAAGACTTGGTTTTTCCATCATGATATCATATCGTTCCGCAACCACCGTATTCGCCTCATTTAGCACCGAGTGATTTCTAGCCATTCCCTAAACTCAAAACACCACCCTGAGGATACCGTTTTGACTCGATCGAGGAAATAAAAGCCGAATCGACGAAAGCATTGAAGGCCATACCGGAAAAGGACTTTTCAGACTATTTTGAGTGTGGGAAAAAACGTTGGCATAAGTGCACTGTATCGGATGGGTATTACTTTGAAGGCGACGAAATTGATTTGGAAGCATAAATAAACATTTTTTATTTTTTAAACAAATTCACTTTATTTTTTTGGACAACGGGTTATGCCAAATGCTTCTACCTTTACCACCATCAGGCTGTGAGAGGGTTTTGTGACTGAATCGTGGAAGAGTTGTGCCTCTGACTCAGACAGAGCTTGCACGAGATTGAAGACATAGACATAGGCGTAGCGATTTGTGATAGTGGATTTACATTTGTGGATGGAGCTATCTCAGACGCAAACTTATTTATCGGTCTGCACATGATGGTCATTTTTTTTATAAGTTTTGTAGTAATTTTATTTGTTTGTTGGTTATTTTATAATAAAATTTCATTTCCTATAAACACAGGTCTGAAATTGAAAATAACTAACAACAATTTCCATGAAAAATATCAATATATCGTTTGTTTGTAGCATATACTGCAGTTTCCAGTTGTACAAGCTCTATATCTACAGTGTACAAACATAATTTTGAACTCTAACAGTGATATGCGTACGGGAACTGACACATTTTTAAAGAAAAAAATGGTATACCAATGGTTTTTCCAAAATAAATTATTTTTGCAATTCCCATTCAATTCAAAAGCTAAGAGCTCTCTTGAGTTTTTGTCCTGCGATGCCCCGTTTTTGAGAAAAAAAATTACAGAATTATTAATAATAATAATTAATAGAAAAAATTAATACATTACAGATTGGCATCTGCGTGTAATGCACAATAACAATTATCAACATACAACATAAACATAACATTACAACTATTATCCATTTTCAAAAATTATTGAAAAAGCAGTCTATTTTGGTTCTATTGGTGTTGGACTTGGGTTTCCGTTATGGAATGTGGATTTTCATCCGCCCACAAATGATTATTGTGAAAATTTTGATTGGCATTTCTTGAAAAATTAACTTCGTCCGTGAACAGAATGTGTGATTCAAACTGCGGATTATGCGCAACATTATGCAGATACCGCTGAAAAAAGGAAAAAAGTTTTGGAAAATCTCTAGGAATGCCTGTACTACTAATGTGGTACAGATATAACAAAAAATCCACTAAAATCCTTCAAACAATTTGGTACTAAATATTCAAATACATAGTGATCTTTCTCGTACTCGTTTGAGGATGTTCTTCAACTTCGTGTAGCACCGTTTCCTCAATTTCAGGTGTTCTTACATTTTGAGGTCTACCTTCAAATGTACGTTTTTGGACACTACCAGTTCCAACAAGACGATGAATATTAGAAAAGTTTTGACTATCTGGCAAGGCAAGATTGTGATATCTTCAACAATTACATTAATTAATTACGGACAATACAACGAGTTTTACTTTTTAACCAAAAAACGGCGCATTACAGAACAAAAACTCAAGAGGGCTCTCATCTTTCGATTTGAATTGGCATTTCAAAAATAATTTTATTTGGGAAAAAATGGCGTACCATTTTTTTCTTTAAAAATATTAGTGATCGTACGCTCGCTACTATTTGCTTTGAAAAACATGCGCCTTTGTTAACTATCACTGAAATATCTCAATTTCATTTTTTTTCTAAAATTTTAACACTCCGTATTTTCGCAACGGAACATTTTTGGACCATAGTTTATAAAGCAAACTATCATTAATTTTCCATGCAGAATCACCCATTAAATATTCGCATATAATTAAGGAAAACCCTGTATAGACACTATATATTTGCAGTTTGCATAACATTTTGATTTATTTATTACTCCACAATGGATAAAGTCGAGATTGCTATAGAACTAGTCCATATCCTGGAGTCTTGTAATAACCCGGTTCTAGACAAAGAGTATTCTTTTAAATATTTTTTACGAATTAAAAATATTGAGAACTTGATTAGAATATATGTCCCTTGTAGTTTTTACATTTTGTGTTTACTCTGTCTCATTTTTAATGAAGAATTTAAAATCATGGCTACACACTGACTCCGAGGTAATATTTTTTGTGCAGAATTAGCAAATACATCAAAATATTGTGCAAACTATCCAACTGTCAAGTGAAATTAAGACCATGCTAAAACTTCTCACCACGTCAATGAGCTGCGAAAGCCGGAGGCCCATCTTCACGGTGAGTCGGTCCGAGTTGTTGCCTACGGGTCGGATGAGGCGGTTGTAGTTGGAGAGTAGATCATCGTAGAGCCTCTTGGCGTCTGGATTGGCGACGCTCGGCGTCGGAGCCAGTCCTCCTAGCATTATCCATGACAGGGCGAGCAATAGCTCCATCTCAGTACACTGTGGAAAGAATAACAGGTATTAGTTGCTTTGCCGACTTTAAAATAAATTGCTTATTAAGCTTTCTACGAAGCAGTAGATCGATACAAAATATTATTACAAATAAATTGCGAGTTCAGGCTCCGACTTGCTGATCCACATTGCTTTAGTAGTAACCCAGTTCCTCGAGGTGGAAACTTCATCGAGGGAAGTGGTAGTGGACGGACGGAATACGATAAGAGCAGATGGAAGATGTAGAAAATGAGTATATACAGCAGTCGATAAAGAATATGGTTGAATGATATTAAAAACATCGTGATCGTAACAGATAGAACAACTGACAGTAGTAATAGATTGATAGATAGTTCTGAAATCAGACACTGTTAAAAACAATTAGATCAAATCTAAATAAACGGAAGATGTAGAAAATAAGTATATATAGTAAACCATAAGGGACAGCGTTAGACATTGAAGAAAACTTGCTTGAAATGGTAGCGGAAAACCCTTTGCAAAGGGATATCATCATATCAGAAAGAGTTAAAGCCAAACCTGTTTTTTTCTTGGACAGTTGCATAGTATTTAAAGCATATTTTGAAGAAATAAGTTCCGAATATTTCTGTGTGGAATTAAATAGTCTTTCATATATTCTACTAGGTAGCTTAATCTTCTGTTCTCGCGATTTCGCCGGACCCCTCGTCGCTCGGCGTTTCCCCAAAAAACTTTATCTTTACTTAGTTTTTACTATTGTTTAAATCAGTGTATATCATCCGTCACTGCACAACCATTTGCTTTTAATCTCTTATACAAGATGTCATCTTATGTTTTAAATGCATTCATTTTATTTTACATGAGCTGCCCAAAGGTTTGCATTTACAATGCCCTAAAGTTTATTATTAGTAAACTGTTACAAAGCTTATTTAATTAAAAAAAGAAATAATATTAAGAATTAGATGTACTTCCATCTAATTTACAAAATATTGTAGCATTGACATTCTGGGGTGCTTCGCGACAATGATTCTTAGTATCTGTGCCTCTAGATGGCAAGTTCATATACCAGCTCAGTAATTTTTTGCTTTCAAGTAAATCACTATTTAAAATTTTATCAGTTTCATGAATCGGACTATCGAGGTGGTTTTTTAAAATTATAAAATGTTTGTTTTAATCCTAAAGGCTCACATTTAAAGTACATTATTTTCCGCACGTAAAGTAAAAAAAACAAAGAATAAACTTTCATTTTTGTAGTTAACGTTTCTTTCATTTCATTTTATTAAATTATAAATAGGTAAACTTTGTGTTGCATCGCAGATTTTTTATTGGTATCAACACAAATCAACAAAATCTTGTGTTAAAACGAGTCCACACCATTTGTGTTGAAATAACAACACTATTTGTTGAGTAATGTCCACTCAACTATTTATTACCTAAATAAATCTCATGTTGACAACTCATTCAATAACTTTTGAGTTAGTCATGTGTCATATTGGTATACTATACCTACTAGTAACTAAAATCAATTCGTGACTGCATTATGTAAATGTATTTGTTGTCTGACAGCAGAGTCCAAACTACGCGTCAGTATCTGTTTGTATTGTAACAGAAGTCAAATGTGTATATTTTATGAGGCGGTTTTCAGAAAGATTGGGATCCAATCTATTAGGCGCTTCTAAGAAATAACCATTGAAAGAAAAGGGTTTTCGAATAGATTTTTCGAATCGCTGTCGTTAAGTGATGTCGCAAAAACTAATAAATTTCCAAAATACATCCGTTGCTGCCTTCGACGAAGGATATAGAATTTAGCAGTGATTTTGAACAAGTTGACTTAGACTGTCGGGGCCATATGTTGGGCAGCTGGTATCGTCGGTTTAGCCCATGGTAAGGCGAAAAATTGATATTTCTAATAACACGCGATACACGTTCGAAAGGGTGCAGGAATTCCAAGATATTTAAATAAATTGTTAGGATGTTGTAAGGAAAATAATAATGGATCAAATAGTTGGTTTTTAGGAGGATTTTCCAAGCTGTGTTGCTATAGTCACGAGAGGAAGGTGTAGGGTTACTTGTAAGTTCAGTTTAGTCACATAATTATTCATACCATTGTAAATTCAGTCAGTTATGTAATTATTAACATGATATAGTAGAATTTTTCTCAAAGCGTATCCGAGATTCAGAGAGGGAGTCAAACCGACCACGTCTGAATTAGCAAGCAAGACGAAGGCGGGGATGTCTCCGAAAAAAGGCAGTTCCTCATTGGGCAGTCTATTTACTTTTATAGTCTTGGGTTAATTTAATAATGGATAAAGTCTTTCCAAATTTTGCTATGAATCCGCGTGCTCTGAGTCTTGGTTTACGTTGTCGCGTGTAAAATAATCATTAATAATGTTGTGTCATCGTCAAAACGGTAGATAGATAAATAAATAACCCCTCCAGTTACAATACTTTGTAACTTTGTATTTCCCTTACCCAGAAATTCGTAATACTAACATTGGTTTGTTTTATGGTTAAACCATCTGTGTTTGGTTTTGAGTGTATCGATGTTTTTGACTTTGGATTTAAATACCCAATTTTGCAAAATACCGGACAGTATCTGTTTTGGTAATCTTTACCTACTAAATACTTGAAGTACTGTCCACATACAGTCACAAATATCTAAAAAACTTTGGGAACATAACGTGTTCATGCAGCAACATTGAATTATTGGAGTGATTAATTTTAAAATGTCAACGTAATTTTACTAAGCTCAAATTATTTTTTGGCCGGATACTATTATAAATTTTCCGATGGAAATTTTTCGCGTCGCTGCATTTTACGCGCAACATTCCGAAATTAATCAGATTTGTCCCACTATCTCCACCAAGGCAAATTCATTTCCAAGTTGGCTAACAGAATTTCCACGCGGAAGCTTTTTGTGTGCCGCAATAATTAGCCTGCGAAGTTTCGGCCATCGATCGACGGTCTCGCGATTCCGCTTGTACGAGCCCACCGTGCTGCAGAGTCGGAAAAACCGAATTCCAGGGAGTAATTAGTGAGGGGTGGAGGTTCAGTAATAAAATAGGAAGTTCATCTGCTCTGGCGGAAAGATCCGACACAGATGCAGTGTGAATTTTTGACGGAAATTGAGTTTTCCTCGTAAACTGCAGAAAGTATTACCTTCTCATCGATATTGTTGCAGAAGTAGGGGGTACAATGTCGCTCAGTGGCGTACGCAGGGGACGTTTGAGGACTACTTATCATGGGGAGACTTGTAAAATAATAGAAATACCGTAAAAGAAGCGAAACTGGATTGATCAAATTAATAATAATAATAATAATAATAAGTTTATTTACAAAAGTATATGACAAACTTAGAANATGCGAAAATCGATTTAATTTTACTTCAAAACTTACGGTATTAGCTTGGTAAATTCCTTCAAAAGAATTCGCTGTATTCTATAATTATAATAATAATAATAATAATAATAATAATAATAATAATAATAATAATAATAATAATAAATTATATTGGAAGATATAACAGATGGAGTTCGGAGTAAGTAAATGTAAAATATTACATATAGAAAAAGCACTACACATAAAAAAGTGTCTCAAATAGATAAAAGTGAATTATTCAAATATTTGGATTTTTAGGATTTTAACTAATGGGATCATGCCACAACAAAACGATATCTTGAGCAGCAATACAAAAGGAGATTGTGCCTGCATCCTTAAGTCAAAACTATACCCGAAAAATCTGTTTAAAGCTGTTAACACTTACAGACTTAGAAAATATTAACACATTAACTAAAACACAATTATTGAAAAATAGAAAACTACACTCTAACTCATGTAAATAAAGAATAACATTGAGTAGAAGAGAAGGAAGAAGAGGAATGATAGAGCTACAAGAACTGAGAACAGATAAATCCTTAAGATCCTATTTCCATAATAAAGAGTACCCATTACATAAGCCTATGGTACCAGTAGATAAAAACTACACACCTTTAAATCTATTTACTCAAGAACAGTCTTTCGTTTTCAACAGAAGAAAATAAGTTGGTCACCCAAACCACATCATTGTAGGTAGACACTTTAATAATGTAAATCAGGAATAGATAGTTAAAGATCAAACATACAAATTCCTACCGAAAGGTCAGTTATACCCAGAAACTGAAGGTATTACATGTACTTGCAATTCAAGATCAAGTCATAGTCGCTTATAAAAACATATCTTAAAGGACGACGCAATATACAACAATATACTTGAAATGAAAAAAATTTGAAAACGAAAACGAGTATACGTAAGTCTGTTTATAAACATCTGGCGCAAATCGATTTAAGTCAGAATATTTATACAATTGCACAAAAAGCATAGTAATATTTCATACATGTAATACACACGATCTATTTTAAACCAAAAATGAACTTCTGATGGACTTGATTTTGGCTCCTTCATCATCGGGAGGATACACCGGTGCAAGTTGTGGAAAAAATAAAAAATGGTTTTGTTTGTAATATACATTGATTTACTTACCAATTCAACAGATTACATTGAAAATATTGCAAAAAGGCAGAGTTCCTTCTGCTGACAATAACTTTTTATTAATACTATTGAGGCTACTAATATAATAAGTAAAATAAACCAAATGCTAATCTAGTAGAACATTTATAGGATGTCTCGTGTCTCGTCCAGCCATAATTGCCGATAAATCCAAACAGAGATGCGAGAAAATCTTCAAGCTATTTGCAGCGAAAAATTTTGAAAATATCGCAGAAAAGGTAATGCTAGCCTATTATGTTTCAAAAAATGAAACCCTAAAGTTTCCTGGAAGCGCTGAATACTCTATGCTCAAAGCTACAATATTTGCATAAAGCTGTTATTCCAAAATATGCTACCTTAATTGCTTTCCTTAAAAGGAAAAATATTGGATATAAAGTGAAAAATTAAGAATCTTTACCAGATAACACATGTACAAGTTTTTAAATAATTTTTCTGATGAAGTCTATTTAAATACAAAAGGAGGAATGATATTTGGAAC